CTCTCTCACACACACACACACACACACACACACACAAACACACAGTGTTCAATCACTCTGGACAGGAGACATGAAGTGTTGAACGCACCACTGAAACTCATTAGTTGCTCTTATACTTAAGTTAACTAGTGATATTTTACTGTCTGAAATGCCACTGAAGAAAACAAGTGCACAAACCTCCTGCTGCTGTGATTGGTCGATTGGATCGGAGCTTCAGTGCTGAGCTGCAGACGGCAGACGCATGGCAGTGAATGCACAGCGCTCATAGATCACACTCGCTCATAAACACACACACACACACTCTCTCTCTCTCCGTGTGTTTGTTTAACCTTCAGGACGAAGTCCAACAAAAGCAGCACCAGCTCGTCATGTTTCAGTGTCCTGCTGTGAGCTGGTCTCAGATCAGATCACTGTATATCTGAGACGGGCAGGTGCTGGTTTTGGAGGTTTAATGTTCTGACAGATTATTGATTCTCCAAACTGAACTCCTCAATCATCCAGATCAGGGTTTCCCAAACACGGGTTTGTGAAGGAACTGCGGGTCAGTTGTGAGTTGATTAAAAGGTAATAATTAACTGAACTGAATGTAAAAAAAAATGGGGCTGCACAATTCATTGAAAATAAAACTGCAATTTCATATATATATATACTACAAGGGGGGTAGTCATGGAATCCCCGCTGTCATTTGGAGCGGTTAGCCAAGCCCAGGCCCGGTTCTAGAGGGTTCTAGAGCATGGTAAATCCCTTCAAATGAAAGCAAAAGCACCCTCAATTGAAGATCAGCCAAACTGTCCAGTGTGTATTTGCGTTAGCTCTCTGGAGAGCATCAAAAGTTACTCTTTACAACGTGTTTTTGAAGCGTAGAGCAACGTAGCCAATCACAGACATATCGGGTGATTTCTTCAACACAATGGCCAATCAGAAGCGTTTCAGCTGGTCAGAATTCCCTCACCGCTGAAAAGCTCTTAAGTGCAGTTCTGCACACTCGTGAATCATCTCAGAACTAACAGAGTGCAGATGCCGTTTAGAGAGCTTCATGGATTAAGACGGAACTTTGTGAGATCGCGATGAGCTAAGATGAGCGATGCTTGCTAGTGATTATACAGGGAGAGCTCTTTGCGTGCTTTATAGGCTATAATCCATTCAGAATTTGTATGAAACTTTTGTTTTTCAGACACATACATGCTGCAAAGTTTCAGGAATGACATCTGCATGTATTTATGCTGGATTCGCTCTCGAAATGACTGACACAGTGATAATCATAGCAATGGACGGGACAAAAGAGCACCGGCTAAGCCTCCAGTTCTCGGACCAAAAGCGTAACAGCGTAACACATAACAGCCAGTAATTTCATTTCCAGTAACAGACGGTAGAAAGTTCAGGAATGAATTATATGCGATTTATGACTGAATATAGTCCCACTACTGATCTTTTTTTTTCTTCTTCTTCTTCACGTCTTGGCTTTGGTGGCAACAAGTCCAAAACGGACGCATTTCAAGTGACTGGATTTGGCAACTGGAAAAAAGTCGTGGAAAAATTCAGTGAACATCAGAAACACGAGTGGTCCAGCGATCTATCGCCAAGACTAATATATCGGCCGATATTTGGCATTTTTAAATTATCGGCACGGACCGATAATTTGTTCTATTTGGCCGATAAGTGTCCTAAGCTTTTATTTTGACAGCGACAGGACTTTTATTTTGACAGCACTAAGAACTGAAGCACGATTTACATCCTTGATTTCAAACTATATTGCGATATAATCCAGTTTGTTATGTTCATGTCATATTCACAGTGTGTACTATATGTAAAAATCAGAATTCATGAGAAAATATGATTCCCAGTGCGCACAAACTTACCAGATTACTGAGCGCACTGCTGCTTACAGTGCTTACTTCCTTTTTAATTCACATTTTTAACTATTTCTTTCTTTGTGAAATATACTCTAATCGGATTACAGAATCAAGAAACTGGTATTTGTTTATTTTACCGGTTTATTTTTTATCCATTTCAAATAATTTTGTTCATATTGATTCATTTTGCAATACATTTTTCTAATTTAATAAATATGTAAAATCAAAATTTCACTGCGGCAATTGTAATGCATGTTATTTAAATTAAATATTCTAATATTTTATCGGCCATTGCCCAAGATATCGTATCAGTATCGGTGGTCAAAAAATCCATATTGGTTGATCACTAGTACCAATGTTTGTCTTTTGAGTAAATAATGACGGGGTTTTTTTTGGTCCATTAACAGTATTTTAACACGAGTCTGATGATAAACGTGTGGTTTTTGATGACACACTGACACCTGAACCGTCATTCAAACTCACTGAGGCCGTGTTCACAGGTGCGTCTCGTCCTCACCGTCCAGATTCAACATCAACACACACGACAGAAGATAAGCTTGTGTAATTCTCCAAGAACTGTTTATCTGCATGTCAGCAATCGGTTCATTCAGCAGAGGTGAAAGCTCATGAGGTGTCATAGTCCTAAAGGTGTGTTAAACACACGTCCTGACGTTACCTGAGATGTTTTATTGCTGCAGGAACGCTGTGATGAGCAGTTTGATCGCTGTCTCAGGTGACTGCTGGAGTTTACAGTAAATCTGCAGCCTGTCGGTGATAAAGATCTCAGTATTGATCAGAACCTCAGTCACGTCACACTGATGAAAAACAGTCTTCTGTGGAAAAAGGGTCAAGTAGACTCACGAGCAGACAAGCGCTCTATAGTTACTCTGCTGATTAATATCATACACACATAGCACTATCATCTCTAATAGTCTATCTTCTGAAAATATTATGAATTCAAATTTCACAAAACAGCTCATCCTGACAGCTAGAGAATCACCATTAAACTTCAGACAGACGGAGAGAAAAGCACAATCACGTCGTTTCTGCATTGGTTTGTTCTTTCCTTCTGCTTTATAACTGATTTATGTTGTAAAATTAGTTTTACATTTTTCTGAACAATGTATACATTTGTTTTTATAAATAAAATATCTATATTTTTGTGGTGAAATAAAAAAATATACCACTTCTTCAGTGGTGAAGAAGTTTTTCCAGTTCAGAACCAGTACGAAACTAAAACCATTGGTCTCATTTAATGATCTTCACCTCATCCAGCCATAATTACTGTACCGTCTCTATCGTTCACATCTGAACAGAGTTTGACTCTATCAGATCTCCTCACTGCTCCTCCAGTGTTATGGTTCAAATCGTACTTATCTGACCGTCATCAATTCGTAGCAGAGGTATCATATCGATCACAAGTGCAGTATGGAGTGCCTCAAGGCTCAGTACTAGGACCGCTGCTTTTCACGCTTTACATGTTACCCTTGGGAGATACAGTATCATCAGGAAACACGGTGTTAGCTTTCACTGTTATGCTGATGATACTCAGCTCTATATTTCTTCACGGCCCAACAAAACATACCAAAATTACTCTGTTATTGTCTTCTTGCATAATTGACAAACTATTTTCCTGTTTGACACTGTAAAGCTGCTTTGACACAACCAGTATTGAAGAAAGTGCTATACAAAATAAATAAATCTGACTTGACTTGACTCCAGGTCTCCATCACAGATCTCTCATCTGAGCTCTCAATATCAACACCAATATGTGACCCTGCAGCACAAAAGCAGTCATAAAAAAAAAAAATCATTTTTCACGCAGCCAATCAGACCAGATGTTTCAGCCAATCACAGCGAAACTTTAAGACTCAAGTATCATCAAGCTTTTTATAGAAAATGAGTTTCCTTACATTGAAATCTAATCAAAGGCCGTCACAAGGAAAACCAATAACATACGAATACTAAATTTGATTATTACTTTCAACACGACTCCCTATAAAGCACCCGATTCTGTGAAGTACTTTGGTCAGCAATTATATTCTCAAAAGAGCTGGTTAATACAGAATGAAGCCATAAAACACATCTACTAATAAAAACGAGTAGCTGAATAAATCACTGCAACAACACCAGATACGGCTAATATCCTGCGTTTGTCAAACATTTACTGAAATCAGCCCATAAAACACTGATACGGATGTCACACACACACACACACACACACACCACACTCACACACACACACACTCACACACACACAGTGTTTTTATTTCACTGTAAATAAACGGCACAGTTCTGTAGAGCAGAATATATCAGAAGAAACAGCAGCTTACCCCACGTCTGTCTGTCTGTCTGTGTCTCTCTGTGTGTGTGTGTGTGTGTGTGTGAGAGTGTGTGTGTGTGTGTGTGTGTGTGTGTGTGTGTGAGTGTGTGTGTGTGTGTGAGAGTGTGTGTGTGTGTGTGTGTGTAATTCGTAAATGTGCTCTGTCTGTCCCTCACATGAGTCTCATTATGATAATTCACTTCATATTCGTCCTGATCTCCATTCAGAGCTCAGATACTCTCGTCCTTCACACAGAGAATGAACAAAACTAATCTGAATGTCAGCAAATTGAATATAAGTTAATGATTGACACTGATTAAGCTCTCAGAATATCTCAAATCATGCACAATTCTTCCAATATTACTTTTTATTCATTTAGATATTTTGGTCTATTTTGTCTACATTTTTTCAGTCTAGTGGACAGAAAACATCCAAAGAGTTGCTTTTATTGCACTTTCTGTAGATTTCAATCTTTAAAGAGTTTTTTCTCTTACAAACAGCAAACGTTACAGTTTTATTCCTCTCTATTATTATATCTGTTGACAGTATTTTCTGATTTATGATAAAAAGAGAAATCCACAATCTCCTCTGGAAAAACCTTTAACTCTTAATATGAGGACAAAATCAGACCAGAATTATGAATCTGAGAGCAGATTTATGTGCTGGAAATGAATGCATATTTAATGAGAACATGCCTCATTTGCATATTTAAACATAATTCAGAAAACGTGTAACACAAAAGCCTGTGTACTCTATACTTCAGCAGTGCTGAGCTCTTCTTCGCTGGTGTGTAACGGGTGTCGTGGCGCCCTCTGCTGGTCTGTCATGAGATTCACTACTTCCGGTGAAACCTGAAGCTGCAGCGCTGGACAGTTTCATTTTTCAGCCCTGTCCCTAATGAAGGGAATGTAATCGAGTCTTACCTTCAGCAATCCTCACAGCGCCGTCATAATGTTCAGGTTCAGAGCATCTTGAGTCACACTTAGTTTTGAGCACGTAAACATGTTTGCTAGTCAAAGACAGGTGTGTGCTTTAACCAGTTTCGTGTCGCCATACTGTGAGTGCGCTGTTAATTATAATCGATCAATACACATTTATTCCTCAGTCAGAAATTATTCATCCGTGTTTCAGCGCGACCCGCGAATCCCTCGCGCGCTTTTTTCCCGCCCCTTTAGTTCCGCTGCAGGTGAATCCGCGTCACGCTGACGTCACTGAGGCCGCTGTACACCTTGTACTGGAACACTATTATGTCACTAATAATAATAATGATAATAATAATAAAAGTGTTAAAAAATATCTGCCAATGGAGTTAGAAAAAGAAGCTTG